TCTATCACTTAGGTTTTTCATGAGAAGAAATAGAGTGAAAATCTGTGTCAACATACTAAACACAGACAATAAAGTGAAATGCATTTCAGGTAATCAAAAGCATACAAGATATTAATTCCTGTGACACTGCTCACTTCCCATCAGGTCGTTACTGCGCTCTGTTGCTTAAGCAGTTCAGCACTTTAGGAATCACTTTTATAGTGAAAACAATAAAGCGAGCATGCTGGCCGGTCTTAACTGTGAAGTTGACTCTACACAGACACACCTGGAAAGATCAGGTTGGTGTGCCGGCATGCCAGTGGGGGACTGTCCTGATTGTTACCTGAGGTACACCCAGACTACTGTAGATCACATCATTCCCTACACAGGGGCCGCTGATTAGTACAAGAAAGGAGGAAAAGCTAAGAGCAAGCAATCGAGAATGCGTATCGGCTCTTCCCCCTCTTGACTGTGGTTGCAATGTTCTAGGTTCTGCCATGACCCCCCTACAATAATGCGCTGCAACTTGGACTTGCAAACCAGATGAACTCCTTTCTCCCCCAGGTTTCTTTTCTGGGAGGTGTTTCTCCCAGCAACAGAAATGAAACCAGGGCAGCTGTTGATTAGAAACAACTGATAATTTCATATTTGTAATGTTGATGTAAAATAATAGAGTAATAATCTTTGGGAATTTTTAAGCTCATTTCGTGTCTACGGGAACAAAGCACAAATATGCATCTGTGCATTTAAAAATTCCCTTATTGTATGTGACGTTGTTGGTTTGAAGTGTATGTCCATTGTGGAGCAGGTTTTCATTTATCATTTTGCTATAGAACTCCTTTATAGTTTATTAATTCTGAGCAAGGTTAGGATTCATATGATATCTTTCAAAACAGGGATGACATGGGGAGGATTCTCTAACATGGACTGTGAGCTGGTTCAGTCTACTGATGATCATCCCTTAAACAGTCTATCTTCAGAGCCTGGCCACACCTGCCCTGATACCTGAGAGCCTTAGGTGTGTGGGTACTAACAGCCCTGACCAGGCCTTAGGTGTCCATGTACTAACAGCCCTGACCAGGCCTTAGGTGTCCATGTACTAACAGCCCTGACCAGGCCTTAGGTGTCCATATGCTAACAGCCCTGACCAGGCCTTAGGTGTCCATGTGCTAACAGCCCTGACCAGGCCTTAGGTGTCTGTGTACTAACAGCCCTACCAGGCCTTAGGTGTCTGTCTGTGTACTAACAGCCCTGACCAGGCCTTAGGTGTCCATGTACTAACAGCCCTGACCAGGCCTTAGGTGTCCATGTGCTAACAGCCCTGACCAGGCCTTAGGTGTCCGTGTACTAACAGCCCTGACCAGGCCTTAGGTGTCTGTGTACTAACAGCCCTGACCAGACTGCACCCCCATCCTCCATGGTAGTTCTTGTCACAGCCATACAGCCTCCAAACCCTTGATTTAATCTAAAGATCAGTCAGACTTTCTCCAGGCAAGACAGTTAGATGTATAAAATTAATCCATTTGTGGGGAAAGGAACTGGCAATGCCATCCCACACGTGGGCAGTGTGGCAATCATTTTAAGTTGATGATAGGAACCCAAGTGAGGTTATGTTCAGTCAACTTGAGAATGTTTTCCCAGCTAAGGACATTGCTCTTTCTCTCTTATTATACACAGAAAAATTAGATTCCCTTCGAGGGATAAGAAGGGAGAACAGATATGGAGGTGGAGTAGGAAGGAAATCACCCTTTAGGCAGAAGAGATGTGAAACTCAGCTCTAAGACACTGTGCTCTGGAGGAAAAAGGAGCCGGGTATACCTTGATTTAAGCATCCAGGAGGCCAAATTTGTCAAAATCAAACTTTCTCAAGTTTCCTTCAGAAAGGAATATACCCACTAAGGCCATTTTGTCTCATAAAAACAAATCTCATTTTCCACGGCATAATCTTTGGGCACATGGGTTTTCTGTCTATCATAAAATTAGATTTGTTTATAGAGCTGCAGCTTACAGCAGTGCTGCTTAATATATGCAATAATACTTTTGCACTATAAAAGTCTTCACTGGCCATTAATATATTCAATATACCTTTACACTATAAAGCCTTCACTTAATATATGCAATCATACCTTTACACTATAAAAGTCTTCACTGGTCATTAATATATTCAATATACCTTTACACTATAAAAGTCTCCACTGGTCATTAATATATTCAATATACCTTTACACTATAAAATTCTTCACTTAATATATGCAATAATACCTTTTCACTATATAAAAGTCTTCATTGGTCATTAACAAGTAAAAACAATTTCAATAACTCATCTCGTTTAACTCAGCATATCCAAGGTATTTCAACATGTGATAAATAAGAAGCATTGGTGTGATAGTTTGCATATCTTGGGATTAAGCCTTAAAAGCCTTTTCTCTTTTTACAATTTTTGCAGCATGTCCCAATTTCCAGAAGCCAGAGTGCTCAGTGGCCACGTGATCAGTGACCATCGCACCGGAAAGCCCAGGTCTGGAGAAGTTTTTCCTCAAAGATTTGGCATCTGTGTTTTTCCTTCAACCCTTTCATCAATGCCTGCCACTTTACAAACTGAGTTAGCATTAATTTCGGACAGCATGAACTTGTTCCTCTAGAATCAGTAATTATACTTTCTGGGGTCTAGTTTTCAAATCCAGTCTTTGGCTTTGTTTCAATTCTTTGACTTTGTTTCATCTGCTGAAGATAGATCGCTGGAGAATGGTTAGCTAAATTCTTCTAACAACAGTTCCAGAACTAACCACTGTAATCACAATTTAAAATTGTTGAAATATTGGGTTGCTGAGCAAACAGTTGCTGAACAAGATGATGTAGCACAGTGCGATTTTTGTGTTTATCTTTTATGAGCATCCCGCGGCAAGCAACTTCAGCTGTGTCTGGCATCTACGGCACAATGGCGGGTGTCGATGTACCAGGGACGGAGATGAGTGCTTGTTCCCGGCAGGATGCAGTGCTATGCCACAGGGGTCTTTACAAGAGACACTGGGACAAACATATCAAGACACTAGGACATTCACAGAGGTTAACAGCTAAGAAATGTGGCATGGTAGACAGACTAGATGCTGTGGTTGCCATGGAGGTACTCACTTTTTCAGCTCACTCTCCTCCTTTTTGGCTTGTGTATGACACTGGTACATACCAGGGGAAAGCCACTCGTGTGTCATGTTAAAAACATATTAGCTCATAAAACTACATTTGGCTGAGAAATTATTCGATCACAGCTGTCGCTGAGTTCCAAAGAATTATCATTACAAGTGCATTGCATGTTATGAATCAGAATTCTGCCTGCTGATTCATAAACCGGCCAATATGCAATAAGAATACAAAGCATCAAAGGAAGCGCTACACAGTCTTCATGCAGTAAAGTCATAATCGGTCTCTCAGAAACAGTCAACACAACACCAGACAGATTTAAAAGGGCACACACAAATGTTCTGAATGTGAGAGGGTGACGATTGTCATGATTTCTTCTCTACACTAAAATACCAAATATACCATTGGGCATTAAAATTTAAATTCAAGCTTAGACTATAATGCTAATATCATACACGTGGAAATGATTACTGGGAAGTAACGGCAAAGTGTAAGACTTGGGAGACTCTGGGGATGATTGGAGTCTTGGTATCCCAAGATGCTATGGGGTGGCACAAGAGCCAACATCATTACAGGTGTGTGGCTCATCACCTGCTGGGAATGCCAAGTGCCCACCTGCCAACCATTCACAGAAGTATTAGGGGCTGGATGTTTTGCATATGGGATTCACAAAGGTCTGACTCTGATGGGGCAGGTGATCATTGTAAAATGGTATATACTTCATAATGTCAGCTCAGTAAAGGACAGACACTTGATAACACTGAAGGAAACAACAGTGAGCCCACTCTGCAACAGAAAATTTCCCAATCCTAGAAATCTTTAATAACTTAAAAACTTTATTTAATGTTGGCGTTATATAATTTTCATTACTTTCAATGTGGCATTTAGAATAAAATAAAACCACACATGTTGGCAGCAGCTGGGGACCAGATCTGCTGATATTCTGAAAATAAGCCGCCATAATTTAGTTTTTGACAGAAATGTTCTTCACAGGGGCTGTAAATGGCCATTTTTTTCTAATTCTAGCCGTGTGCATAATCGGAGGAGAATAGTTGCATTTACGAATGTGTTATGGAAGAAATGAAATGTTTAACATAACAACCTAATCTAAATTATATGATATATGCAAGAAAAATATTTTTTTATCTCAGAATTTAAAACTGGAAATTGCACGGGGTGGTGATGAGTCGTGCTATAGATATTTATGGAGACTTTTACAGGATGTTTCGGGAGTCCCCGGGCATGTGCAGGATGAGTTTCAGCTTGCCTTCAAAGACAAATGTGGACTTTTTCCCGATGTGTGTTACAATAAAGGCTGAAAATGGCCCTTTTGGACTCAAACTAGAGATGGCGCTTCCTCATCAAGGCCTCTAAGCGTGGAGAGGAACAGAGAGCCATTTTCTGCATGGAGACTCGGGGACTTCCGGCTCATTCCTGTAACTTAGTTATTGACATAAATATGTATAGACAAATGTGTACTATGCAAAGTCACACAGAAATATATTTAACATTAAAATTTAGAGCATCTACTGGCAAACTGACATATGTATATAATATGACTGGATTTATTCAGGAATTCCATTTTTTTGCTTGTTATTGGTATTTCTCAAAGTCAACAAGACTCCTTTGAAAGAAGCAGAGTGCTATACTTGTACGTATATTGTTTTAATTTTTAAAACTAATGTTCAGTAATGAAAATTAATATTCACGATCAAGAACTAATTTTTTTCTTTTGAAATTTTGGCTTCCATTGATTATTTTTACAGTTGTTTCATGGAAACTGCTTTAAAAAAAGATTGGCTTGAGTTACTGTTTTTTTCTTTTCTTTTTTTGATACATTAACATATGTCAGCTTCCTACAGGAACCCTATGGGTCTGCCCACCTGTGATGTCACAGTAAGGAGGGGCTTTTCTTCTGCAGACTCCTCCCTCGGTATCTCCTTCATCACCATGGCAACAGCCTTATCTGCAGCCCTAGAGCCTTTCCCCTACAACAGTGAGACCAACAAGGCATGTGTCAGGAGGCGTCTTGAAGTTATTTATGGCAAGAGAAGCTAAGGTTTAAAGAGCGATCCGACATGAGTGAAGAGGCGGACTGCTGCCAGGGGATCTTGAAGCTTTTGGCTGAGGAGAAAACACACAAAATCTCAAAGATTAATTGTGAACTTTTAGTTAGCTACTTTTTCACCCTTCACAGCGGACCTGTTTAACATAGCATTTTTTATATGTATAATATATTTGAAGGCAATTAACATGAGAGGAACATATTTTTATAGTATCAGTTTTAGCATGCTCTGACTTTCCTGTTGTGTTCATGTGTAAATTATGACTGGACAGCCCCTAGATTGTTTGGGTTGAGGCAGAGATTAGAGCCAGAATTTGATTTGCTAAGAGCTTCCACTGGGTGTTCTCGGAATCTCATTTTTTTCAGTGATTTTGGCATAAGGAGTATACAAACTTCATTTCTTAAGTATTCTACAGTGGCTTCAGGTGCCAGGGTTTTACTCATGGTGTTCTGTGGGATGGTCGGACCTAAGTCAAGTAGAATTTCTTCCCCTAAACTCAATGTTTTTGAGACCAAGGAACTTCAGTGTAATTTTACACATGACTTTTAATTGATAAATTCTTATAAATACACAAGTAAACTATTCTTGTTGGGGCAGTGATCTCGCTGTATCTGGTGTTGGTTTGTCTCACATAAAGAGGATTGCGAACCAGCAAGATGTGTTATCCTTCTCTCCTTTGAGTTGACGAACTCATCAAGTTTATGAGAGTAACTAAGTATGTGTCATTATTGAACAAGACAAAACATCACTTTCCCAATAATCTCTCAATACTTTCAAAACAGAAATTTTAATCTTTTTCAGGTCTTTTGCCAGCGCCTCCCTGGAGAAAATCATTTTATACTAAAAGCACATAAAATATTTGTGCTATCAATCTACTTATAGCTGCCTCACAAAGAGACACACGGACAGGTGTTAAGTGTGTGCTGTGGGGAGCATCGTCTGGAAAGGGAATTAACTCCACAGCTCCCTAACACTGACAGTCTCACCCGATGCCCAAGAGGGCGTGGGCTATACTAGTATTTTAGGTGCTGCAAGGATATCTAAAAAGCAAGTTTCATTTAGGGAGCAAACCCCTCCATTTACTCAGGTTCTAACCTTCTAAAATCATAGCTTACATTTATGGCAAGAAAGGAAACTTTTTTTGTACAGATAATAGATTTTAAGCTGTGTTTGATTTGGCTTAAGGGCTGCATTATTAAATGACAATGTGTTCCTTTCTAAGATGAATAGCAGGTACTGGAGCTATTATTTCCCAGTGTATCATTAATAATTTGCATGTGTGTTCTGAAAAGATTGCAGGCCTTGCTCCTTAGGCTCCCTGACTTCTGGAAGACTGGAAGAATGGTGAGAAACTTGATGTTTCATTGTAGAGTCAATTGGGGTAGACAAGAACTCCAGGCTTCCTCTTTAATGAAGCAAATTGGCTTTCTGAAAATAGATAATAGCACAATTCTGAATTCTGGGGAAAGATGTATTGGGATACTATCCAGCCATTTAACATGTCTTTTAGATACTAAGTTTGAGGGAGACATTGCATGCTATCAACTTAACTATATGTTCATAAGCTATGCTCATTTATAGAAAAATATCTGTCTTATAACATTTATTTCTGAGCAAAATCATTTGCAAAGAAGTCTTTCCATGCTCTAAGACATTCTAATAATATAGCAATAAACAAAGTGGCATGCTTATATTCAAATCCCTACTATATTCAAAGGGACGAATCGAGTATTATAAGGTATAATTGAAAAGCAATAACTCAGACTCTTCTTGCGATGAGAAGGAAGGTTTGAATTGATAAGCATCTCAAAAAATTTCAGGTGACTTTTTCAAAATGTCATTTATTTGAAATGCTACCAATCTATAAACTACAAAGAGAGAATTCTTACATGTGCAACTATAGTAGCTAGAATTAGCAACAGACATGCTTTTTACTAAAACAGAAAATAAAAACCAAACAAAAATTTGTCCTTTCATGCTGAACTCTAGAACAAAGCAGTGGTCAGCTGAAAGGTTGGATCATAAACACATGCGGGGCTTTGCATTTCTTGCAGAAAAACCCACCAAAGCCAGGGTCAGGTCACTTTTTTGAAGACAGTGCCATTTTTTCTTCAAGGTTACACCTACTACCTGGAAAGAGTCATGATACCCGGGTTAGTTCCCTGTGGCAACTGTTGGCTTCAGTGCCAACACCCCATGACTTTCGTTCTTTAACAAACGTGGTACAGTCTGAGCAGAGGACAGCTCTGCAGGCTCCATCTCTGTGGCTGCAGAAAGAGTGTCTGGCAGCCTAGCCTCCATGGTGAATCCACTCACTCATCCATCCAAGTTCCCCTCCCATCCTACTGTCACCTTAGCCTGCTGTCCTCCGTTCAGGCTGTTAGTGCTGACTAGCCTCCTAGTTGGAGGACGCTGCTCCTAAAACGTAGGATCCAGCTAGTATGAGAGAGAGAGTGACTCTGCTCAGCGTGGCCAGCAGTAGCTCTGCAGAACTAACAGCAGCGCCACTGTGGTGTGATGTTCTTTACCCAGGTCAGTTGCTTAACACATTCCAAGAAACCTATATACACAATAGTTCAACTTTATAAATGTAACTGTACCGAAAGGTCAATGCTGACTTATTATTTGAAACAACACGAAGACAACAAAAGAGAAAACACAACTGGAGATACATTCATATGCACTTCATGCTGCATGAAGCTGTCCGCGCCTATCGCGCGCTGAGAAAGAACAGGAAAGAGGTACTTCAGAGGTGACTCACGCCTGTCTCATCAGGACAGCCTCAGCTCTTATTCCAGCCGCTTCTTTTCTGATCATACGTGAAATTCACTTCCCCTCATTTCCTTGTTGAATTTCTTATAATTGCCTTCTTCAACAATAAAATACACAAAATGGTAGCCTTTTAAACAATTCTGGAGAACAATCTTTGGGGAGGGCTTATCCCTACATCAACTCCTGTTGAAAAGGGAGGATGGGGTGGATAGGGAGCCAACACATAAGGATGGAGAGGATGAGGAGCCAGTGCATGGGGACAGGGAGGATGGGGGGGCAGTGCATGGGGACAGGGAGGATGGGGGCCAGCACATGGGGATGGGGAGGATGGGGAGCCAGCTCATGGGGACAGGGAGGATGGGAGCCAGCCCATGGGGATGAGGAGGATGGGGAGCCAGTGCATGGGGATGGGGAGGATGGGGAGCCAGTACATGGGGATGGGGAGGATGGGGGTCAGCACATGGGGACAGGGAGGATGGGGAGTCAGTACATGGGGAAAGGGAGGATGGGGAGCCAGCACATGGGGATGGGGAGGATATGGAGCCAGTACATGGGGATGGGGAGGATGGGCAGCCAGCACATGGTGGCAGGGAGGATGGGCAGCCATCCCTCAGATGAGGAGGTGCTGCTCCACTCCCTGCCTCTCAGGGAAGGGAATAAAATTACTGACAGAAGCTTACATTAGCTCAGCATTCTGCAAGATACCTGACAAAGTCTGGGTGTTCTTATGATAACTTGACTGGGGAGATGTACCTCACTTAGACAATTAAGACTGAATCAGAATGATTTGGCCACTGCTCATCTACATTTGAAGCATAAGAGGGAACTAGATCCTGCCTGCCGTATCATTGTATGTCAGGGTGCAGCTCTCCTCCCCTCCGCAGAAACGACCGCTGTTTAGGTTATCAATTGCATTTTAAGCAGGAGTCACTTTTCAGTGCAATCGCTCAGACCAGTCATGAACACACTATTAGTTTCTGGCTTTGCAAAAGTGTCCCGCTGTGCAGCCTAAGCTGGCCTGCCAATCACTGCATAGTGCAGGCTGCCTTGACATTGTGCCGGTGTTCCTACTCCAGACTCCAAGTGCCTAGGATTACGGAACTCTTTCTCTTCTAGAAGCCAACCACACCCTCACTAGGAAGCACGCTCCTCATGGGACACTTTGCCTCTTTGATCTTCATGGACAACTAACCCAAGTATTTCGAGCATGTGGCCTTTTTATTTTATTTTAGACCATAGCAGCTTCATAAATGTGAGAACTCCTTTGGTTCTTGCTAATCCTGAGTGCCAGTCTGTCGTCTTTACGAAGATTTCCTCAACATCTATTCTGGGTGCCTAAAATATACAACACGCACGAGACACACACACTCGGTTCATTTGTGATCAATCTGCTACTTACAGATTTTAGGACGGCTACTGTGTAGTTTGTAGTTTAAAACATTTATTACACTTATTTGTGCACGTGTGTATGTGTGCGCACACACACATATGTGCACACACATGCGCAGGTGGCGCTCAGAAGACAACCTGTGGTTGTTTGCTCTTTCCTTCCACTATGGTGACCACCTGGTGACCAAACTCAGGTCATCTGGCTTGACAGCCAGAGCTTTAACTGCCCAAGTCATCTTGTTGGCTCCATGGAGTTTGTAATTTAAAAATGTTTTGATTGTCTTTAATCTAACCCTTTATCAGAGATACTAAATAGACGAAAAGGAAATTTACTAAGAGAAGGGAAAGTAAAAGGTGACAAAAGTAGGGGACCCCTCAACCTGTAACTAACATTTATTTTAGAGACGACTTTTGGTTTTGATTTCTAAACTCAATCCATACTCTTGCCCAAAAAGGAGAAACATCCGAAATGGGAAAAGACAAACAGCAGGTGATATCTTTTTAAAATAGCCCCAAGCACTATATTTTATTTTGACACTATTGGAAATTTAATATTTCTTAAGATGAATGTTTAAAAAGTTGACATATTTATGCTCATAATTGTGATCGCTTGCACACACACTCACAAACACATACAGGCCCAAACACCTGCCATCTTCATAATTTTGAAACGTTACTCAGTTTTGTCCAGGCTAAAAAGGAATCCCAGGGATGATGTCTGTGCACTGGACTGACCTGTGGGGAGCTGGCTGTGACAAGGC